GATTAGGTTGGTTCATTAGATGGGATTTGGAGGGATGGTGTGTGTGTGTATGATATTTGGGGTTTTTTTTGGATGTATAGAGATACCATGAATATCTATGTGATACTAGTATAGAGGTTTTGATGATAGAATTACGAGGACGCAATCGATCTTTTCCACTCTTAACCACAGTCTTTACTACTACGTAAAATATGAGTGCATAGATTGCTACTGCTACTATCAATGGGAGAAAGTATATTGCCAAGATGGAATACCACGATGATTGGACATCAATGTAGTCAGTGGTATGCTCTGAGTTGTTAAGCAGCTATAATATAGTAGTTCATCTTACTCGTGGTCGACGACGTGCTGTCAGTGGAGTCTCTAGCTGTCACTTCAGCAAGGGACTAACTAGTTAACTACTACTTACTGATTGTACTTATCTAGTTCAGTTCGTGGTGGATATTTTCCGCGAGGGTCCCACAGTTGTGACCTTTTTATAGAGAATTTTATTTTATTTTCCGTTTTCAATTGAATGAGTCGAAACACGATTATATATATATTTTATTCCGTAGAGTGTAGGAAGTTCCCGGTGTTGCGGATTAGGGCACGGCGCTTCCGCATTCCCAGTATTCAAAAGATTGAACTTTCAACATTTAATCTTTGATTCATCAGCACACTTGGATAATTGATTGAGCCTGCAACTACGAATCTATGAAGCACTTTCAATTAATAAGAAAAGACAAAAATAGTCACTTGACCATGCACTCCAACCACCCCCACCACCGCAATTGAACTTCTACGCCAATGAGCTGACCGCCGTTGGGTCCCTAAGAGGCTGGGATGCGAAAGGCTTCCCATCGGGCAACAAATATGACTGGAACCAGCAATACAACACCCACTCCCGCACATGGGCAAGGATTGGCCTCGTTAGTGGGGAATGCGAACCATCCCAGCCATCCTGTGACTCCTATGGTTGGTTTCATTGCCGCTGGAGAGCAGATTCTGTCTCGTGTGAGATGTTGTTGCGTTGAGAGCGAGCGTCTGGTTGGGCATGAGGATCAACGGGCGAAATCCCTTCACCAATCTATGAAGTCCCCTCTACTGCAGCCCGTGCAGGATACATATGTTACACTCAGGGATAGGGAATGTTGCTACAAGATTCAGCCAGTCCGACGACGCTGATCTGTGGCTAGCGACGCCCATGCATCACCTGGTGGTCGCGATAAGACGAACTGAACGGGCCGTTGGTTGGCATCGCAAAAGCTGGCGGTCAACCCACTCCGAAACCCGTTAGCGATGCACACGTAGCAGACTGCCTTGACCCAGTTAGTCGGCTCCTGCGCCTATAGCTGCTTTGGCGTAGAGACTAGACACCTGGAGGGGAAAATTTCCAGGGCGCATGTATGAGTGGAGAGCTCCGCGGACAGTCAGGAGTGTTGGAGGATCGCATATAATAATCGCATTCTGAGTCCGTCTTTCTGTCGGCCCTTCTTTTGCTTTCAAGTCAATTCTTGTTGTAGTCGCAAGGAACGCAACAGATTTCGCCAATGGAGTCTGATCGGGACTTTAGTAGGTGAGTGCAGACCTTCAATCATGACCAGAATTGGAACTCTAGCCATTGCGATCTCTCGAATGACTCACACCATTTTGTCCGGCTTCTGCGCTTGATTCTTTTCTTTCCTTCTATCTCTGCTTCATGCCAACCACCACAGTGCTGCCACTGACCACGCTCTGGATGGATACAGCATCGTCCATTCACCGCCATTTACTTTTCTGGTCGGCCCCAACCACACCAAGCTTACCATCCAGTCCGGCCTCGCCCGTCATGTCTCCCAGCCACTCGACCATCTCATGAACAGTGGGGAGACCCGCGAGTCAAAGCACCACATCGCTGTCCTGGAAGAGTATGACGTCGAAACTTTCGTCGCCTTCTGCGAGTACGCCTATACCGGCGACTACCGTGTGCCACCCCCGGGGTCGCGCGAAGAGGACCGTGAGGAGCAGGCCGTGAACAATCCCTTTCGCGGTGTTTTCTCCAACGATCCTTCCAGCCCAGCAGCCATTCCTCCGCGGGCCCCGACACCCCCTGGTCGACCGGTAGACCAACCCCATGGGGACGACCACGACAAGTCTCTCGATGATGGGTGGAGTCGTCCGGACGAAGAGCACAGGCCCGCTGTAGTGGAGCACAGTTTTCCGGGCAAGGATGACGACTGGGAGTGTGCCATTGCTGATGATGAGCCTCAAGAACCAGTACCTGCGACAAAAGAGGCAAGCGAGCAGCCTCCTCCAACTCCCGCAGCGGAGCAGAATGATGGCGATGGATGGGACGCCATTGGAGATGATGCATCCAAGGGAAAGAAAGGTAAAAAGAATAAGAAGGACAAGAAAAAGAAGAAGGGAGCCGCCGCAGAGGAAGCCGCGCCCAACCTGACACCTCCATCCACGCCACCTCCCTCGAACTCGAAGCCGGAAGAGGAAGCCGCCAATCCTGCTTCTGAAACCAACGCAGTGTCCGAGGATGTCACCCCAGCTCCTGAGACTGTAGAGATACCTCCTGCTCCGGAGCCAGCTGATACTGCGGCGGCGGCGGCGGCGGCGGCGGCCTCATCGCCCACCGAGAGCTGGGAGCACACTGCGCCCACGCCTCCAGAAGATGGTGCAGACGCCCCCAGCAAAGAGGACAACAAAGACCAGAAGGAAGAGACACAGCAGAAGGAGAGGGAAGAGTCCAAAGAGCACCAGGGAGTCCCGGCCAGACGACAGACGGGTCCAATGATCGACACCTCCTTCGCCAGGCAGCAGTACTCTCGGATGAACGAGAAAGGAACCAGTCTCTGGGACGAGTTCTCAGCCATCGACTACGTCGACCCCCGCTCTTGCTCCGTGACGAGGCCTCCAAGCGTCATGTCTGCTCGGTCCCCGTGTGAGCTGCCATACCTGGTCTTCCATGCCAAGCTGTACGTCTTTGCGACCCGATACCTGATCCCTGCGCTGGCCCAGCTCTGTCTCCGCAAGCTCCATCGCGACCTGCTGTACCTGGGATTCGCGGAATCGAGCATCGAGAGTGAGGACGAGGAGCAGCATAGCCTCAACACCACCAAGGCCAGAAAGGTTCTTGATCTCCTGCACTACACGTACACCAAGACTACTCGTCTGGAGCCGATCACCCCCACGTCCGCTACACAGCTGCGGGATAACGAGCTACGGAAGCTGGTCGTGCACTTTGCTGCCTGCAAGGTGCGTGATTTGGCGGCCTACTCTCCACCAGTAGAGAGTGATCTTGTATCTCCGTCGAGCAAGCCATTGAAGCCTTCAGCGCGGGGCTTCCGTGCCTTGCTGGACACCACCACCGAGCTTGCTTCGGACCTGGTGTATCGGATGATGATGTGAATGCGCCCTTGCACTGCGTCTGATCTCTCCACTCGTTTCTTCTTCTCTTTCTTTCGATACGATTCTTTCAAGAAAAACTCCAATCCATCCTTCCTACATGTATATCCAGATACGCACGACCACAGAACCAACAACGCACGACAGATGGCATGAGATGCATGACCTGGCGTACGGGATGACAGATAAGTGTATGGAGTCTGTTTCAAAGTTTATGCGCTCATCGTTCCCACTGCCAACAACGAATTTCCTTTTGTGTATATGATGTTGAATGATTATTTGCTATGAATTACCCTGGCTCCATCGTGGATGCGTAATAACAAGCACAGCCAAGTTTGCGTCGCAATGAGGTATCCTGTTAGCGTATTGTATTGTCTTGGGACAGGTTGCATGTGCATGTTTAGCGTTTCTGCATGTTGATCCAAGCCGCGCGAAGCGAGTTCCAGATTCTTCGCCTGCCTAAGATTTGACCTGTGTCTTGCAGCGGGCAGCATTCGTCTTACTTTCTCTCTTGTGTTATCAGGTAGTTGTTCTAATTCTAGCCGTGTCACTGCGGGCCATTGTCCATCTGCAGGGGGTCCAGAAGCCGATCCGGGTTGCCGTGAAGAGCTGGGCGTTGGACATCATCTGCAGCCGATGTCGTCGCCTTAACGGAATCCTAGTAGATAGTGGCCATCAAACTCGCGCTTCATCTCTAGGCACTCTAAGGGGGAAAAATGAGGAAGTGCATCCGCCACTGGCTTGGCATGTTGTAGGCAATCACATTTTCCAGGAATTCCGGAGGACCACGAAGTAGGCGAGGAGATAAGGGAGTCAAGTCACAGAATGGAATGACGACTCGAGGATTAGGCGACAAGAAGGGGATCGCCAGCGGACAAGAACGCCGAGATAATTTCGTCAACGATCTATCGAGTCTCAAGTATCTCGATAGATGGCTGAGCCATGCTTGGCGGCGATCCGGCCAAGAGCATCCAAGAGACGGAAGGGAAGGATCGGGATTGACTTTGTGAAGGAGTAAGAAGAAGATCAGTTCTATCTCTGAACTGTATAAACTATCTGGACTATCTACTATGTGGTCTATCTGGTCAAACGTTCCGGAGGAACCTCGTGCCAAGGGATGCCCAGCCAGGATTCCCTCTGAGGCCTTTCCGTCTTCCTCCGCTCCTTCCCCCCAAATTTCACTTTCCCACAAACACAAACAACTTCTTCATTTTCCATCCTCTCCTTCCCAATTGTCTGTCTGAAATCCCCCCACCCCCATCCAGTTGGTTGAATGGGTTCAGTTTTTGCCCTCACCGGTGACCTCAATTTATGCGTATATGGGCCTGTTTTTTTACATTGTTGCCATCCATGGGTCACCCGCATGGATCAGGGCCCACTTCCGATCCCCCCTCTCCATTACATTCTTTGGGTTGCGGTCGACTTTAGTTCTCTGACTGTCCACTCCCGAACCTCCCAAGAAATCTCCCGCAGTCTTAGTAGTATTGGCAAAAACCTTCCTGCTCGCTTCCTCTCCCATATTCTGGGCATTTTATAGCCACCACTACTTGGCAGCGGAGATGCCATGGTGCGCTGTCGATCCTCCTCTTGGCCATCGCTCATCTGGGGAGCGAAACAGGTTGGAGAAATCAGCGCACGTTGAAGATTCCTGGATGCGCACTACAATGCATTTGCCCGCTTGATTGGCCCGGATGGTGTCCATCGAGTTCCACTTTCCCAGCTCCAACCTTGTCTTTGGGACTGCCTCCCGACTGAGTAAGTGTATTATCTCTGGTCCTCCTGCTACTGCTACTGCTGTTCCTTGTCTCGTACCTTCCTGACTCTGTTTCCCGTACCTAATCCTCGGTCCGAACAGGGCTTAGCATCGACCTCCTCCCGTTTGGCCACTCCTTTTGCCGCACCCGTCGCGGCTCATGTCGTAACTCGCAATGGGCCGAAAAGGTTTCGGGATGGATCCAGGGGCAAAAAATCAATCCTCGAAAATTCGGTTTTTTTGTCCCCGATAGCAATACTCATCCAAACTCAGATGTATCACCACCAGTTCAAAATTGAGACGAAGTTATACAGGTCTCTTGGCCAATTTAGACCTGTGGTCCCTGATGTGGCAGCGATTCTGCGGTGACAAATGCTGGCAATGGGCACGTCCGCACTCTCGGGGAATTTCCGGACCCCAACCCTTCGAAACGGGTAAAATTCTGTGATAATAATAACACAGTGCGTGGCGCATACCATCAATTCTTCTACCCAGAACTGAATTGCCTGTCAGTTGACGTTGTCGATGCATACCGACCCACTGATGCAGAACCATAACCTCCCATGGCTTGGCGGAAGAGAGTCTCTGGAAGGTTGAGGATCATGAACCATCTGCTCCCCTAGCCATCAGGTTCAACCTTCGCCTCCTATGATGCTTCGACTGAGTGCCGTGGATCCCTGTCCGCCTTGGCAATATGGTGGCTCCCCCTTGTTATGATTCCTAATTCTCCTGACCTAAATTGGATATTTCATACGCCTAGATATTGGGCCCCGCGATACTGATTATCTCAAGTCTAGACTGTGATGCTCTTCGCCTGGTGAGCCAACCACTCTTGCCATGCCCCTGCAGGTCGGCTGTTATACTCTTGGCCATGCTGTGTTGACACTTGAAGGACGATCTTTCTGGCAGCCCAAGAAGCACTGCCTTACTGTAGCCCCAAAGCATAGGGGTTGATGCGTAGTCTTATATGACCTGTGGAATGTCCTGTCTGTTGGAGGTGCAATGCATCGCTGGTAGTCGAGCTCGTGGAACAATTGGTTCTTCCAGAAGCCATTGCATTACCTGAGCAAACACCCTGTCTTACCAAAATTTTTTTTTCATATCCACTCCACAATTATCAATTCAGTTCTCCGTATCCCAAAACGTTTTTCCGTGCTGTTTCGCTGTGGGCCCCCGGTGTACAATAGTAGTACGGGTCCGCTCAGCTTGCTAAGGCCTGGTCACCCCTCTCTGGTTAAAAGGCTGGCTCATTCCTTTCGAGGCACTTGAACCAGACATTGTTTACTTCTTGATATTCTCCTACTGTTCACGAGCAGGGAAGCCGGTGGCTTTTGCTCTCCATCAGTTACATTGCTTCACACCTCTTCTCTCTATTCCTCTCTTTGATTCCTTCACCTCATATCTTATACATCACCGTATAGACCATAGTCGATCAGCACTATGAACGTTGAAACGAGCCTCCCTGGCTCGTCTGGTTCGGATCTGGAAACCTTCCACCATGAGACCAAGAAACATGCCAACCACGATTCCGAGATATCTGTCAATCATGAAGCCGACTTGGGCGTCAACCATACATTTGAGAAACCAGGTCGAGTGGGTCTCCGCGAGCGTCTACACCATTTTACCTGGGCCTGGTATACCTTGACCATGAGCTGCGGCGGGTTGGCCCTCCTAATTGTCAACCAGCCTTATGACTTCAAGGGCTTGAAGGACATTTCCCGGGTAGTCTACTGTCTCAACATTGCATTCTTCGTCATCGTCACTACGCTCATGGCCATCAGATTCATCTTGCATAAGAACATGTTGGAGTCTCTCGGCCATGACCGTGAAGGTCTCTTCTTCCCGACCTTCTGGCTCTCCATTGCAACCATGATCACTGGCTTGTACAAGTGCTTTGGTGATGACTCGAACGAAAAATTTACCAAGTGTCTCCAAGTCCTCTTCTGGATCTACTGTGGCTTCACCATGATCACCGCCGTCGCTCAGTACTCTTTTGTCTTTGCCACCCACAAATACGAGCTGCACACCATGATGCCGTCGTGGATTCTGCCAGCCTTCCCTGTCATGCTTAGCGGTACCATCGCGTCCGTTATCGCAAGCGGACAGCCGGCTAGTGATGGAATACCTATGGTCATCGCCGGTATTACCTTCCAGGGTCTTGGTTTCTCTATCAGTTTCATGATGTACGCCCACTACATCGGACGACTGATGGAGGTCGGCTTGCCGAGTCCCGAACACAGACCTGGAATGTTCATCTGTGTTGGCCCACCTGCCTTTACTGCCCTCGCTTTGGTTGGTATGGCTAAGGCGCTGCCTGATGACTTCCAGATCGTCGGTGATCCCCACGCTGTTATCGACGGACGCATCATGCTGTTCCTCGCTGTCAGTGCGGCCATCTTCCTTTGGGCTCTGAGTTTCTGGTTCTTCTGCATTGCGGTTGTTGCTGTCGTCCGCTCCCCGCCCAAGGGTTTCCATCTCAACTGGTTCGCCATGGTCTTCCCCAACACCGGTTTCACTCTTGCCACCATCACCCTGGCCAACATGTTTGAGAGCCCAGGCGTCAAGGGCGTGGCCACCGCCATGTCTCTCTGTGTCATCATCATGTTTATCTTTGTCTTGGTTAGCGCCATCCGGGCCGTTATCCGCAAGGACATCATGTGGCCGGGTCAAGATGAGGATGTGTCTGAATGATTCCTCACACCGCCTTGGTTCCTTTTCCATTTCTCGTCTCATATTTTAGCCTCAGCATCTTTTGGGTTTCAATGTTCTTGCATCTCTAGCGGTGAATTCTGGTGAAACGATTATATGCATACACTATATTGAGCGCTCATTCTTTGTGTCAGCCTTTTTACGACTCCTTTGGATTGTTGTTCTAGCTACACAGGCGTTTGGGATACATTATAGATTTAGAATCAGACTTTTCCATGTCCTACAATCCCCTTTTTTTATTTGTGATTCCACCGGAAGTTCCCTAGGGTAGACAACTAGTAATGGCCCACGTTCTACTGCGTGAACAGCAACCCGATCTCTTCTTGCTACACAATACGGACTCTCTCGTAGTGTGATGGTCATCACGAGAGACTGCGTGGAATGGTATTTGTCGCATCGACCCGTTCACTCTTGCCCCCGTTCACATTTCTCGACCGTTCACTATCTCCACTTCCTAATCAGGGCGAGAGATGCCTCCAATTCCACGAGAATATGTGAATCCTGGTGTTCAGCGTAACGCCGTGAGGCTCTCATTCCACGATCTGAGCCCTCATTCCACGGCTTCCTCTCTCATTCCCATGTATAGAGTGAACGGAGGCACTGGACTGTGAACGATGATCTGGACTCTGATGACTGATGATTCTCAGGTATAAAAATGCCCTCCTTTTCGCTCCAAATTTCTCCTTCGCATTCTCCCCTCCTCTCCATACTCAGCAAGGTCTCAAGCATCGATCTGACTGCTCATCAGCTCACCATACACTCTTTTGGATCATCATCATCTCTATCGTCTTCATCATCTTCATCTTCATCACACTCTCTTTCGAAGCTTGGATGGCTGCTGTAACCTTTCATTAGTTTCTTCTTCATTTCTAGTCATTCCTTGTCCTTCTGTCAACGATGTATCCCCACTCAGTATTTTGCCTTTCCTTCTACACCGCATACTGCCCCTCATGTAATCTCCACACTCTTTCTACCGCTTTCTTACGCTCACCTCACACTCTCCATCAATCATGACTTGTCAAGGAGGGGTAATATTCCTTGCTTTGGGGACCCTCCATCGCCTCACCTGATCACTTTCTTTTTTGGGGATGGGGATTCAGTCTAACGAGCGGGGAACAACCCTAAGAAGCCGTCTGTTCCGAAGGCACGACCTTCAATTGTTTTCGTTATACGTCACACCATCTCATTTGTGGTATTATTTCTGTTCTTCTTCATTATGACTCTCATTTGTGCCGGTTTTCTCTTTGGTGCCACGTGGGCCTGTCCAGTTGGCCTCACTCAAGTTTTGGGGCGGGATGAGATCGACTAGCAGCAACATCCGCCTCATCTCGCCTAGCGAAACGGGAAAATCTCAGCTCGCGTACCGCGTATTTCTAAAACCCCCCCGGGGAAATACCGGCTATGATGGTTTGGCATAAGCCGGCTTCTCCGAATTCCCCGACCGTCGTGGGCATACATTCGGCTTCGGCATGCCGGGGGCGGCTCTCTTTGCCACGGCATCTCCAAGCTCATCGTCGCCGAGATACCCACAGTAAGCATAAAAAAGCCCCTGGTTCCAGCCACTCAGGAAAACTAACCCCACTTGGTCAGGGCACACCATGGGGATACAATCACCTTTTGGGTCACCGGTCTTGCCTCGGATGAAGTCCGTCGAGCAACCTGCCACTCTGTAATTCTTATTGGAAACAAGCAGAATAGCGTTGAAAAAAAAAAGCTCTTCTCGGCGACGATCCAGCCCTCGATCGGCTCACTGTGCCGGAAGATCGTACCGCGGCCATCCAACCACATCCCCTCGATTATTATGCATAAAGCGCCTTTTTATGCTTATTCGAATTTGCATTTCTTGTCCTCTATGCTTATCCTCATGCCAATTTTCATTAATCTTTTCTTTGCCCCCCACCCAACGCGCCGACCGAGCGGTTTGCATCTCCGCAGCAGTTCTGACTCGCGTCCCCCTCTTCTCCAAAAGCCGCTTCGTTCGTGGCTCCCTTACGACTCCTTATTGCATTGTCTCTCGTAACAGAATCACGCCATGATGCCTCAACAACTCTGAGACGCCCTTGCACAACTCCGCAGGACATTTAGTCTCCATCGTTCACGTGCAGTCCACCCCCGATGATCTGTGGCCGCGTTAGTGATTTCTATGACATACTGAAATCAAGCCCCATGGAGAAGGCCTGCGCCGACGATTCTGATTACGGCAACTCGCCCGTCATAGTATATACGCTGCGACACCAATTCTATACTACCCCAACTATCATTCGGTGGAGATGGCATATACGAGACTTCTTGATCTTGATTGGCTGGCCCAGTCTTCATCGACACCACTGACAGCTCTCACCTATACACAATGGACAGTGTGCCAACCAGTGCATAATCATATAATCTCCAAAACGGTGTACAACATCCCGACGCTTTGCAACAGTGTCGCGAATGGTGATTATAATCTTAACCGTCGCTGCGTATATAAATCGACACTATAAGCCCATCGAACACATCCGAAGGGCCAGCGGGCAAGAAGAAGTGCACTACTGTATTGTATATAATATATATTCCCGACATTCTGAGCCCATCGACTTTTCGGGCTACGCTATATATCGGAAGAAAACAGAGAAACTTTCGAGGCATCAGAAGGCTTCGTTGATCGGGACGAAAGTGACCTAGTGACAGATTCTCGTCACTTTAACAGATCAAGCACTGGCTGATCGGCTCCTTGGCCTACGCTGTATATTGACAGGATGAGTGTGGACGCTTTCGAGACCTCAGAAGGCTTCGTCGATTGGGACGATAATGATCCTTTGAGCCCACGAAACTTTATTTGCGATGCGACGCTGGCTCGTCGATGCCGCGCTGGAAGAGCCACTGATGTACGCTTTCGACATTCTGCAGCCATACATTCTTTTTCCACTCACTGCTTCGAGCCGAACAACCATTTCTTCGAAACAACAAACTCAAGTCATTCCTTCGCTTTATATACTGGCGCTACAATCACCACGGCGTTTCACCTCGTCGCTTCGATTAGCTAGCTAGCTCTAGCTTCAGCTCCAGAAGGGCTCGAAAGAATGAGACATTGAGGGACATTGTCCGTTGGACGGTCGCTCCTCTTAGCGTTCGACTGCTTCCTCTATATAGCGACTGTGCAGGCACCAGTCAGCCTCTATATATCTTTCCATCGCGGCTGATCCTTGAACGATGGATATAGCCTCCAGAGTGGCAATAATAAAACTCTACGAGGCAGCTATCTTACGAACACCACTTCGATTTCCACATTCTAAGAGTTCACTTGACGCAACCTTTCAGTTGACGGGGCTCTCCTGAAATCGAAATCTCATGGAAGCGAAGAAAAACTTGAACAGCTCGACTTGCCTGAGACGATGGTCTCCTTGTTGTTCCGTCGCTTCATTGCTCCGTGGCGTTCTCGCTTCGACGTCCACTGCTCCGTTGTCTCATCTCCTGAAGCCCAAAGCATTTCGTCGCTTCATTGCTGCGTCACTTTATTGCTGCGTCGCTTTATCGCTGCGTCGATTACCTCCTGGCTAAGTCCTGCACTTCATCGTCTGCAGCATGTGCCAACACCACGATGCTTCCAAGGACTACGACGAAAGACATCGGACTAGCAATTCAAATCTCTCATGTCTCTCACTTCTTTCACATCTTGAATGTAGAGGATCAAGGAAATTCTTGCCAAAACAGCACCGAAGGGGAGGACATGAACGCAGGCAATGGTGATGGCTCCGGCAAACGTCTCCAAAGCTCATTGAAGATAGCATTAGCATTTCTTCGAAGACCGAGGAGAAACGCTATGCCCTCAATCTGGACAAGGCTGGGATTTCATGAAGTACAATCGGCACTGGAGAAACACTGCAATCCGGCTACTCGTACGCATGACTGGGCTGAACAGTCTTAGCGATGAGCTCAAACTTCAGTCTGCTCGCTGCATAGACCGTGGTCTGTCTTTCTGTCAGCCTGACATTGGCTGTCCGATCTCCAACATCATACCCAAGTGGATTAAGCTGGTGTACCTTGGTTCAAGAACCATCACCAAAGGCACATTGGATTCAAGGTATTTCGCAGGCACTATTACTGGGAAGCCTGACTTAATCATATATATAAAGGCTGGAGTCAATACTTTCGAACGCGACCACGACCGGTGAAAGACGTCAACTCTCGCAACAACGATGGCTCCGGCAAAAGTCTTATAAACGACCACCAACCGTCTTCGAAAACTACGACGCAAGGCATTATATATACGCGATGGAAGCCAACCTCGTCAAGGATGCCTTGGCACATTGGAAGCCACAGGAATGAGAGGACAGCTTGAAGGAGTGAGAATACTTGCGGCATTGGCTGCTGTCGCAAACGCTTCTCACTAAGACTCACAAGACTCGGAAACCAGACTCATTGGTGGTACCTCGTGGCCAACTTCCAAAGTACAGCCATCATTATACTTTCCTATATACACTCCAATGTACAAGATGCCTTGGCGAATGCGGGAAGAACAAACAAGGGAAAGGACATTGAACAGATGACTTTGTCTGCGACAATTGTTTCGTCCAGACCAGCCAGCGTCGGCCGAATGCTCTGGCATTTACCAAAAGCAACTGCGTTGGCGCAGGGTTCGCTAATTACGACGCAAGGGATCACTTTTCTCCAAAAGTACCCCTGCGATTGGGTTTGCCAATTACTACGGAAGGCATCGTTCTCGCCAATTTTACGACGATGGCCTTTTGGGTTGGTGATACACAATCGCCAGGACTTGCGCAGCAATGGAAAGTCTCCTAGAACTACCTGATTGTTCCGTCGCATTATGTCGCCCTCCAAAAGTGATCGGTCGCTGCGAAAGCTCATCGCTCTTTTCACCTTGACAATCCAGAGTCAACGAGTCGGAACTCATCTCATCGAGCTATGACTGAAGGCAGGGCTTGCCAATTACTATGGAACGCATCATCTTACTTGAAGCAGCGCTGAAGACATTAAGGATGCAGCCAATGGGGATCGCACAGCATAAATTGCCTGCAATAATCATCGTCGCTTGACTGTTCCGTCGCATCGAATGACGGCTGGTGACTCAGAGGCTAGACTCACTCGACTTACAAACGCCTCTGACTGATCTGGTAACTCTACGCTTTTCATGCGGTCAGAGACGTTGATTTTGCTACCTTCGAAAAAAATAAAAAATAAAGAAAGAAAAAAGAAAAGGAAAAAAGGGAAAGGGAAAAAGGAAAGGAAAAAGGGAAAAGAAAAGACAAATTGGAATAAAACCCTTATATATAGAAGACCTCCGAGCTCGGTTATGAACATGACGGAGTGCGTCTCGACTACAATATTGTCCTTCGGAGGAAGCTTTTTGAAAGAAAAAAGCCCATACGAGAGATGCAAATTCGTGCACGAAATCTACAAGGATATCATCATTCTCACCGGCTGCGACAAAAAGCCAAGCACCAAGCTACCTAGAGCTGTGATTTTGGACTGCGTCACAAGCTCGCTTTACACAGCGACGTATGGTGCTGGTGGAAATCGGCTAGCTTTTATCATCGCAAACAAGCGAGAAGAGTAATCGGTGCTGAAATCACTTGGAGGCTTAGTGGGTGTCATTGCCACTTGAAAGCGCCATTGCGACTTCGTATATCGATGGTGACCTCGACTTAGTTGTTACTCTCACAGCCGTCTTACGATCTCCGACACAATCTATATACAGTTTGACCCAGTGTCTCAGCACACTGCTGCGTCGACTCTTATAAGACTACAACGATCATCTTCGGATCCAGCAGCAATGCGATATCTGATGGGGCCTATACTATCACGGTCACAATCTACGGTTCCGACGCTTTAGTTTCACGCATTGTTCCTAAAGCTGTCCAACCTCTGCTACCGCATCCGAAACCTCAAGCCCACTTCGATCGAGCGACCCAGCTATGACTATTGCATCGCTGAATCTTCCAAGCATGGCATGGCTTCAAAAAATCGCGTCACTGAGCCTTACTACAGTCCCTGGTCGATCTTACAGCAGCTATGATGCCTATTATAACTTATCGTAACACACAACGATGTCCAGTTACTCTTTCCATGCGGTATCTGTCAATTGCGACTTCTCGTCGAAAAGAAAGACGAAGATCACTATATACGGCTGCTTGAGCACCTAGGTGGACTCTGAACTTGACGATGCTCCATTTAATAGTCTCACTTTGGGCCTGGGACGGGTAGTTCCAATCTTCATTTACTATACATGCGGCCCTCGAGCCTGCTTTCAACCTCGACATTACTGGGGAGATGCCGGATCTTTCTGAAGGCGAGCTTTTGAATGAGTCATCTGGTCAAATGGAAAAAATGTCCAAGAACGCGTCTTAAAGTCATCATCTAGATATTTTTTGGCCACGTCGCATGGTATCAGCCATATCAGAAAAAGAGTGAAACGAGAAAGGTATATGGTAGATCCATCTTCGGCCATAGAACTGGCAAAAGGCAAGCTCATCAGCAATCACCCTGAGCAAAGTTTGAACAAGCTTCGAACAACAGTATTGCCGGAAGCCCATTTCTTAGTGTAGCAGGTGGCACAGTGGGTGACCGGTTTGCCCGTCATGAGCTAAGTGCACCGATGATGCTCTACACAAGTTCTCCATTCATCGGTCCTGAGGTGAGCTGTGATTGACAATAGAACCGACAGCAAACGCCTTGCGTCAAATGGTCCATTTCGAATTGTTGGCGCACGGTCTGGATAACGAAGCGACATCTACTTCTTCAAATTCTCAAAAGTGTCCTTACGCAAGCGACCGTGTGGTATCGCTTTTTCCAACCCATCGCTTGATTCTTCTTATCTTGCTGGGGACATACTTCTTCGATTGCTCTTTGTTTCGGCAACCATCTGCTAGAAGCTGGCATCGAATTCTCTTGAGCTGAATGGCCAAAGGCGATGCATCCAATGGGTCGGTTGCGACGATATTCTTCGCAAAAGAGGAAGCAGCAAGATATATTGCGGTTGGCTCGAATCTCGGGCGATGATAAAGTGACAGCACTTTGGCTTCTTGACAACCTCGTCAACAGCCGAACTCCAATTTCGTCTACATCACACTTCGGCTCTAGTCTCGGTGCATGCCAAAGCTTGGTGAAAATCAATGGTCGAGACGGCAACGTTATCGCTCTCAATCTTTCGACGCAGACTCTCATTTGGAAGAAAACACTTCACGCAAATACCTAAATTGCCTGCTTGAACGTTGAGATCAAAAACGCGGATGACATCGACCTTGGCTTCAAGTCTTCGTCCTCTGGTCACTCTCAATAATTACTAGCCCTTCGACACTGGCTACTAATCTCATTCTGCACGAATACATACCTGTGTTCTTGTACCTTTTTCATCTAAGGAACATTTTAAAATCTCCTATTCTTTAGAGGTAGATCTAGCCGATCAAGAGTTCACCTGATCCCAAACACACAGGAGAACCAAGCCCAAAGCGACAACCATCTCTACAAAAACGCCTAACGCATTCGGCTTTCCAAGGCAATGAAGAGGACTGGAAGCACCCAATCTCCCGTGCCATGGCCCACACGCATCACGAATGACTTTGTAATGCTGGATGATGCGAAAGCGCTTATCTTTCTACCACAACAGACTTTCGCAAATACAATTGCCTCTCGATGCTGCAAGCAGCAGTGGTTGGGGTTGCATACGAACCCCAGCGATTTCTCTATCACGCTGGGAGAAATCGTCGACGTTGGGACCACTCGACCGGATCATAAAACCCATGCCGTTATAACACAAGCACTCGTCATTTACATCTCTATCGCTCATAGCTCATCTCTCAAACGATTCAATGCTTTTGCCATGACTTAAGAACACAAGGGCGCTTCTTTCAGGCTTCGGAGAAAGCTAGTCGAGGTTTTATTACACTTTCGAGTGGAAAGCGCTTCCTCGATTACCGTTTCACTGCGCGGTACTAAAAAGCCAATATAACAAAATTGCTTCACAAACCAATTCAGCTCAGACGCACAAGTTAAAGCCATTGGATAGCCTTCTTTATGGCTTGGGCTATCGATCCATCAAAGAGTGAGGGCGCTAGGCTTTTAGTGACCCAATCTCGACTTCAGTATGATATTCTATTCAGCTATCGATCATTCTCAAGCGAAAGGGTCGCTCAGAATGACATTTTACCCATGGAGAAAAAATGACCATGGGTATCTCAGATATCTCGCGTCGGTGATGATGATGACAATCGGTCGGAAGTCCACTATAATCTTCACTTCAAGAACGAATGTGGCACAAAATCAAGGCCATCATTAATGTCGTTCTCTGGCTTATGTACGCAAAGCATGGTAGCATGCTACGGCCTATTACCTACGTTTATATAGAGTGGCTCATTTTGAAGCCAACTTATCATGTGGTGGCAGTTTGATCGCCAAAAGGGATCAGACGAGACGGGGTCCAGCACCTTCTTAAGCTTGGTGCCTGTGGAAGCGGTTATATCCTCTGTGAGTCATCTGTTGCTCAGCTGGATGCTATCTATGTGGTTACTAACCTACCTATTTCCAGAGTCTCGATCGAACGATTGAAGACTCTTCCATGGATCGCTTCTTTATCTTCGGATATTATACACAGTCTTCGCTCCTCGTTCTGATTTTACTATAATGGCGAAGATTGAAGATCGAGTTCAGCTACGATCTTCCGAAACTGCTTGCACCATGTGTGGGGGTCGACAGTAACTTCACCGAAGAGGCTGATCGACTATATGTCTCCATCTTGTTTAATGCGGTGATGACCTGGGTCCATCCTCGACATGGTCTTGCATCTGACGAGGAGTCACCTCGCTTCTATCTCTTCCATGTAATGGCGGGTGTCTTCTACCATCGTCAAGAACTTGAGCATCTACTCAACAATTTGACAACCTACAGCAACACAGTACATGCTGCTTAAACACAGGAATATCCTTCATGCTAATTTGCCATTTTTGACTGGAAAGATTGCAAGGTAGCAACCCGAGCAAAATGGCCCTGCCGTTTACTTTTCGGCCACAACTCGGACAAATGACGGCTTGCACAATATTATACCAACACTGAAAGCGCTGTTCTATTACTATTGAAAACTTGTCGTGGAACAAGAGAGCAAACTCGAAAAAGCTCGTGCTGCATCTTTGACGGACAGCAGCATGGTAGATAGTCATTTGCATGACGGCCTTCTCTTCGTGCCAATTATACCTCGCTTTTGCATGCTCATACTCAGTCCTTTCTAGATTTGGTGGACGCCAAATTTAAGGACAAATGCGGCTAAGAGTTATCGAAGTCCGGAGACAGTTGCATTGAATTAGCAATGGAAAGCTCAGCGATCTGCTAGAATCAAGACGAGATCACTTTCGAATGACCGTGCTTTTCTCATATGGACCAAGATGTGTGGATGATCCTGTCAAGACCCTCGACTGTCTACAAACAGGAAAAACGTATCTAGCCTACAGCCGATACGATGGTGCAGCGTTCTAGTTTTTGGAAGAAGGGATTGCCTTTCAATCTAATCACAGTATCGAGGCTATCAACAAGCTAGCGCTGTTCCACTTACATCCTTCGGTGATCCTGAAACTAAGTGGTAGAGTGTGGAGAAAAGAAAAATGGAAGGTCGTTGGCATACTTAGCAAACCCACTTCCACCGAGACTACAGAGAGCAACGTTCAAGCTCTGTCGCACACTATATAACAACCGACCACAAGTTCCGAAGTTCCGGAGACTAAGGTTGACGAACAAATCCTCTTGCCCGAAGAAACAGACTATTTAATTCAAGAATGGTTTGAGTCAGTGTCCTTCAAACCCGAGTTCAGCAAAGCTCTATATAAACATGCCACCTCACATCGGCAGATACTGGCTAATCACAGGGCCTAAATGCTGTCACTCTTTTGGCTTACGCGAAGCAAATCGTCACATCTATCGAATAAGAAGCCATGTGGACAGCGGTCAGATTGGATCCTGCGTAAAAGTCGAAATGCAGTATCTGTGGCTCACAATTGGAGCTTTCCACAGACTTCAAAGGGGCATCCGACGACAGTGACATACTCGATAAATTCTGGAACTGGTTAGTTCCACCATGCGCATAATACATTCGACGCAATGCTCCAGTAAAAAAAGAACCTGCCAATTCACAGTGATTGACCTTTCCTCGAACTCACGCACTTCAGTCGCTGCCGATTGACCGGTTCGATCACTGCGTTGGCTGTGATGCAGTTCCAAAAGAAGCTCTATCAATCTTATTATCGGGCTAATGGTCAGAAAACGGTCGAAGAGAAGACGCCAGGCTTATATTTGACTAGAAATATAGTCTATTCTCTCGACAGTGACTGGCTAAGGGAGAACACTGTGTCATGGCATCTTATTCGGCCAAGTTGACAAGACTCGTCCTACTCTACCTCACCATGTCGGAACGGTGTTCTACTTTTACTCTACGAAGGCTATGATCCAACGAATGTTATATAGAGGTATCAAGCTTATAGCCAAGGAATATTTTCCTGATGATCGGGAACTGATGTCTTCCCTCTGACTCGGGTTTTGGAAGTTGCGACTCCGAAAGCTGAAGAACAGTAGTCTGGGTTGTCTATCTGCACAAACCCAAGTCCTGAACATGAAAAGGAAGCATTTACGAACCACAGGAAGCCACGAGCCACGTTGGCTAGTCAATAACATCTCTACTTCTTACATCATGACTAGCCACAAGGACAGGGAAGCCAATTTTCCATATTGATGTCCTTCAACCCGCTTTTAAGGATCCCAGGCGTTCGTCAACTGCCTTGATGTTTCTCCGCTTACTTCTGCTTGTTAAGCACTAAGCTGACGGTCGGGCTTGCGTTTTTGACGGACGAAAGTCTCAGCGAGTGGTAGTTCTACTTGTCTACGCTCCATTTATCTTGCTAAATTGCTTGATTGATCGTTGCTGCTTGGAAGGTACAGCGACCTGCTTGGAAGCTGCTCAACTCCTGTTTCGATGAGCCTGGTTGATGCTTCTTTATCTTCTCTTTATCTTCCTGGAATCATGCTTGCTATATAGAACCTCCAACCAGCCAGCGCGCAGACAAAACTCATCCGGCTCCGTCCTTTAAAGAATCATCGATACACGCGACAAAAATTTATAAAGCGGCCCTTCAGACATTTTTTATAATCTATAACTTGGACAGACACGTTATAATCCCCGCTTAGTCGCCTGCGAAGGAAAAGCCGCGACCTTACCCGCTATGAATGGCAAGTTGGTACACTGGGCCTTCTCAGCGCCTTTTATCGACGCAGCATTAGCTGTTGTACACAGCAACTTGGTATCATCCGATCATTGCGAATTGGCGTAGGCCAAATGCATTACCTTTAAAGGTACTAAAGTACCATATCTCAATGAACGGATGGCCATGCCATATATCATCTCTACTTAATGTCCGCGAAGAAAAGCCGCGAACTTATCCGCTATTTGGTGGCAACTTGTTAATGGGCTTTCTTAATGTCCTTTTAACAACGCAGCGTTACTATACGCAGTAATGTTGAATT